TCTAAAAGCCTTTGAATAGACTAATAAATATGGAATTGTTCTGAACATCTGTAAGCAAAATACGAAAAGATATTACCCAGTGAATGAACATCCTGGGTTTTCTTGCCAGAAATGGGGTATTTTGTGTATTAGGCTAATGCTCTGAAATTAACCCAGAATGCTTATCCATTGCAGAATGTCTTTTCATATTTTCATCTGTACAGTCATTCTTATAAAATGTAAGACTAATTCTCTATCAGGGTATTCAGGAATCTGAATAGCTCAATTACTTGTAGAATCAATGTAGTAAAGCAACAGCATACCAGTTAATCAGTTGGTTTGCATAACAACTGTTTGAGAGAGCATGTGTGCGTGTGTGTGTGTGTGTGCACATGTGTGTGTCCATGCATGAAGAGAAAACCAGGGTCAGCCTGCTCTTCAAAACAAATGTGAAATATCAAGCTTTTGTTTGACTACACAGGAGAGAGTTCTGGAAGACAGGGACTAGTGTTCATGAACAGCCTTCTTCTAGTACTGAGTAGGACATCTTGCGTGGGGTACATTCCCAATAAATGATGTACTTAATTCATCCAAGAATGCCTCCATGCACCTAAGGCTCCTCACAACCAGCCCATGCTGGGGGCTGGGTTCTCTGGGCCAGGCAGATGCTCTACTCATAAGGAACACACAGAAAGGGCTGAAGTTTTGCCAATCCTTTAGGAACACAGCGGTGGCCTCTAAGACTTGAATTACTTCTCAGCATGTCTCTTAAAAGACAGATAAGAAACACAGCACAGACAGTGCCCATCCCAGCAGGTCCACAGGCCATGAGAGATGCCAATCCCAGCTGAGGCCACTGAGGATGGTCACCTCTCAAACAGGTATGTGAGTAACCGAAACGAATTCTGGACACATGTGAGGACTGTCACTCTCCAGGGAAATGCAAAGAGACAATCACAGTGTTTGGAAAAGCATGAAAGTCCGGCTTCTGGCTCTCAGCTTTGAAGGCCAAAATTCCATTTTCATCATTCAATTCCACCCAAGGTTAATCCAATATAGAGAGAATGAGTCATGCAGACTAAACTCACCATAAACTGAGATCTCAAAAGTGGCATTTTATTGAATTTGAAGTGAGAATTAGAACAGCCTGCCTGAATGTCCTGGTCTTATTGCATTTTCTTTCTGTAAATAATCCCCGTATAAGGACAAAAGATTAGACGATCCTGCGGAATGGGGTTGGTGATATAACTTCAAAGTGCCACAGTGTTGGGTCTGAGCAGAGCTCCCCAGAGGTGCCACCAGGACCCCCTCCCCTGGCTGCACTCCCTGCCTGACCTGCTGAGTTGCCCTTTCCTCTCCCTCAGCCAGGGTGCCTTCCAGGGACTGAGGTCCCACACACTTGCAAGCTGACATCCTGGTCAAGCACCTGCCTCTCTGTGCAGACCAGCACAGGCGCCTTTCAGACTTTCTCTCCCAGTGGGCAACAGCACCCCAAATGCTTCAGGAGCTGTGCATAGCTCACCTCTTTTGCATGCACCAGGCTCAAGGGCACTCAGGATGGAGGTTACCCTGCCTGCACAGTCCCGCCTGGAAGCCCAAAGGGAATGCCCTGCTTTTTTGCCATGGGTGACTCTGTGCCTGTGCCACTGCTGGGCCACCTCCTCTCTTACTGTTACTGGAAGGCAGGCATCTTTCTAGTGCTGAGTGGCAATGGCAACATGGGCTTGGGTTTCAGCCACTGCCCATCAATCACCATGTGGAAATGCCATGTGCATGCAAGGACTTGTGCTGTTGGGCCACACGGTGCTTTTGCACACTCAGATGCACACTTGCTCGCTTACTTGTCCCTGTGGAGCTGTGTACCCACTAGCATGGCAAGCATCCTGAGCTAGAGCTGCTGGCTCTTTGGCTGGTGGCCACCGATCTGCATGCCAAGACACAGGTGTGGAGTGCAACACTTGTCATCACGTGCAAGGTTGAGGGGGCAGAGCCATCCCTCTGGATTTGGGATTTTGACAGCCCTTTCCCTGAATCTGGCACTTGACCTGAGAAACCGCACAGTACCTGAGGTTCAAGCATACTGCTCAGGAAAGAAGGGCTTGGCAAACAATCCATGTCTTTATGTGTCTTATTTCTTGAAAAAATAAAAATCAATAAAAACCTTTATAATACTAGGACACAGACTAGTGTTTCCTCACACTGAACCCTGGAGGTTATTACACCTCTTGGTGGAGGCGGTGGGTTTCTTTTTTCTCTCCAGTTGGACCTCTCCAGGGTGACACATTAAGCAGGGCTTTGAGCACCAGGGCCTTTAGAGCTGATGCCACCAGCACAACCTGCTTTCTGTCTCCCCCACCCCTCTTCTCAGTCAAAAATCCTTAATTAGCTGGTTGCCGTAATCACTCTAGCTGCCACCCTCTCCATTCTCCTTCCCTGCTATTTCTAGGGATCTGAAGGCTTCATCACTCCTACACCGGAGGGGCCTTCCCATCATAACACTCTCTGCCTTTTTGTTTTCCCCTTTTATGATCAGAACAACAAAAAAGCCTAGGCAAAGAACTCATCGCTCCTGTTATGGCTGTGTCTAGATGTCCCTCCAAAGCCTCATGTGGTCATAGGTGGAGCTTTTTCAGTGGTGGCTGGATCTAGAGTCTGTGACTGATTCATGGTGCAATGCTAGGATGAAAGGTGCTAGGGTTAAGGGACGGTGATTACTGTATCAGTCCACTGATTAGTTTGGCACTCACCCTGATTCTGGCAGCCTGGAGAGAATATAAAAAGGGCAGGAAGATGCTGCTAAGGTCCCCTTGTTTGTTTTGCTACCTTCTGCCCACCATGAACTGTTTGTCCTCTGAGATGCCCCTCTCCCATGTCACCCTGCCTTGGAGCCAGACAATGAGGGACTGAAACCTCTACAAACTGTGAGCTAAATAAACCTTTCCTCCTTTAACTCTGGTTGTCAGGTATTTTGTCTCAGCAACGAGAAAAGTAACTAAGACACTTTCCCTGTCTATCTTTCTCTTTCTAATCAGGAACAAGCTTCCATGGCAACTACACTTTCCAGTGCTACCACCAACTTAGTAGGAGTGTTGGTATTAAATGGAGAGTTTTTCCCAACTTCTGTGGCTTCCGTCTTCACCCAGAGCTACAGACTTGTAACACCAGCGGTTTGTATGAGCTGTATCTGAAAGAGGTTGGTCTTTTTTCCTTCTAAACGGCAGAAAGATTTAAAACATTCCTTGGTATTTTTCTTGCAGGAATCATTAAAAAGCACACCAATATATTTAAAAGGGTAGTGGAGGGATGGACCTGAAAGGAAATGTGTGATTGATGGGAGGAAGTGCGAGTAGATGAAAGGAAATTGGCTGGGATATGGTGGCTGCTGGGAGACTTGCATCACAGTCAAAGGCACAAACTTTGAGTTGAGAGTGCACGAGGTAGAGAGTCCATCTGTACATGGACCTAGGTGAGCTCCTTCTCTCTCTGAGCCTCAACACTCTCCCTGCAACAAACCAATGCTGAGATGCCTCATGCAACTGTGGTGTCGGAATAAAGAAAGACATAAAAAATGCTTACGACAGAGTCTTGTACATGGTAGGAGCTTAACACATGGGAAGTGCCATGTTGTCGTTAGGGTAGAGGTGAAAGGAAAGAGTGAACAAAAAAGCAGTCACACAGCTCTGATTGTTAACACTGTGTAGGATGGAGATACGAGTATGAGCAACAGAGAGCTGGGGGTTTTCTTAACAGCCTTTTTGCTCCTAGCTTATCAAGTTATGCTGCGATTACAGAAAGGAATCTACTCATTTCCATCCCTAAGACTTGAGAGGACACACCTGGGCAATCTCCAGGTTCGTCAGAATCTATTTATAGCTCTGCTGTAGCATTAGCTTAATTTTTAAACAGAAGCCAAAAATATGGGTTAACTGTTAAAATATTTATTCACTATTCCACATTCCCAATACCAATCAGAAATATTTCAATTCTTCTTTAGAGCCAAGAAAACCAAGAATATACATATTTTTATAGTACTTTCCTTCTTGCACAGTGAGATTTATTTCAAAATCACATAGTATTTATGAACATTTTGTGCCACAATATCATGGCTGCATGATTGGAGCGGAGGTACATGGTCTGCAAAACCCAAAACACTTATTCTCTGGAACTCAGTTTATGTCAGCCGCAGGGGCAGAACACGGCCTATGGGCCACAGTTTGCCAATCTCTGCAGCATAACATGGCTTTTCATGGCTTTCTCTCCAGAGAATGCGTAGTCATGATGTGTGCAAGCCATGGTGGTTCTGACCTCTTGACAACCGTCTGTGGCCCTGTGCCCCTGCCTGGTGATAGAGGGTCCCATACTGACCCTCAGTCTGGCCGTGAGACCTCATTGAACCAATGAGACAAGAGCAACCATGACACGGCTGGGATGGGTCTTGTCCTCTCTTGCTGCTCCTCGGTCTTGTGTCCACCACCAGGTGTATGAGGCCAAGCCAGTGTGTCCCACATCCCCATTTCCTGGCCCAGGAGAGCCACTAACAGAGGCGAGCACTGACCGCCAGACATGAGCGAGGCCACTGGAGACCAGCTTGTCCCTAGGACCCCACTAGGTGACTGTGGCAAGCCTCTAAGCAAGCCGGCCCAGACTGCTGATCCAACTTGCTTTAAGTTTTAGGGCACTTGTTTCACATAAAAACCTAAATGCTATAGGGAAAAAAAAATCCACAGGAAGCTTATTACCATCTAAAACTATAAAACAAGAGCCAAACAAGTATATTTGCAGAAATGGTAAAGAGAAGACAAGGCAAATATTTTTTAAAATTTGTATTTCCATGGGCCGGGGATTTAGCTCAGTGGTTCTGCCGCCTGCCCCAAAAGCGCAAGGACCCGAGTTCGATCTCCGGTACCAAAACAAAGAAAGAAAAAAGAAAATTTGTATTTCCATTTTAAAGATCCTGCCATCACCAACAGGGACAAACCCTCCTTGCTCCTGCCAGCAATACGACAGCAAAGTCTTCCTACCTGAGCAGACTTCCTTATAAGTAGGGTTGGGAGTATAGCCTCCTGCAAAGCCCACTTGAGTCGAATAGACACCTTTTAAGATCCAGAATTTCCTTTCAGCTCCCCAGAAGCAGCCCATTCCTGCAAAAAATATCAGAGAGTGGTTAACTATTTTTCCAAAACAAGCGGTTCATTACACATTACAAGACCTGTTTGCTGGGAAAAACAAGCTTCTCTGATCATTTGGGGATTAAAAATGACTGAGAGGGGCCGGGGATTTGGCTCAGTGGTTTCGCTGCCTGCTGCACAAGCGCAAGGGCCCGAGTTTGATCCCTGGTACCAAAAACAAACAGACAAACAAAAATGACTGAGAGTCTAGCCTGTGGAGAACTCTTTAACATTTTAAAGTAATTTTCTTTAAGATTATTTGCATAGAATGTCCTTTGTTTTTACTGAACAGAAATTTAGAAGGCCTCAGATTTTAGTGGATTTATATCTTTCCCAATAACACAGTAAAAGGATAACAAGTTTATGAATATTTTTCATACTCAATTCATAAATTATATTGTATTTAATGATAAGCTTCCTGGTCATTTTTTAAAAAATATTTTAACAAAGACATGTAGTACTCAATGACTTATTTTAACACAGAAATTTCCAAAATCAATATATATTTATGCAGTATTTCCCTAATGTCATAAATCCGTTCCGTTTTCACTTTTGTCTCTATTAATTTGCATGTGTTAAGTAATTGTTTACCCAAACATATATTCTTCTGAGTTCTATTATTGAATATAATAAATGAGAAAGGTATAGAAAGGAGGAAGGGAAGGAAGGAACAACAATAAACAAACTCACAAAAATTGCATTCCATTCCATAAACTAGTTGTTTATGCCAGTAGTTATTGGATTCTTTTGAACACTGGATAAAAAAACTAACACCCATATCACAAGAACACACATATACACAGAGAGGTGTTAGAAATATCCCGCTGTTTTTCCTTGAGTCCACAGAAAGCACCCCCATTCTCTCCCATAAGTTTCCAAATTGTCCAAGAGAGCTGCTGGTTTGTGGCCCACTCCCAGATGTAAGAAGCCTGCTGCCTCTCTTGAGCTTTATGCAGCTTTGTCAAGTCACATATAACTAAGATCCTGGGTGGAACAACAGTTGGTAAATTAATATATGCCTCCTATTCTGACAATCACTAGCTTTGCTAGATTTAATGACAGCTATAAGAAAATTTAGTTACTGACATTCTTGACAGCTGTTAATAGTGTACTTTAGAAATTCAAAGCAACAACAACAACCAAAAAAACAATGTGCATGAAGTTCTACATCATCCAAAAATATTCTACTTGCTAAAATGTGAGAGGAAATCTACTTACCAAAAATAAGTTAATAGTTTTAAAATATGATACAGCCAAATAATGAAATTCAACACAGTAAAAACAATTACTGTTGTGATAATATTGCAACATGGAAATATGTATATGATTTTATCATAATTATCTAAGGCTAAATTAAAAAGGAAAAACACAATTATGTGCATGTTTCTATTATAACTAAAATATTCTTATCAAAATAGACCAGAAGGAAATATACCAAAGTTATAATCATGATTACTTTAAAATGATGAGAATACAGGAATGTATTCATTTTTCAAGTTTTTCTGTAACAGATTCTTACTACTTTAAAAATGAAAAGAATATTTTTAAAGAAAGCAAAACTTCAAAGAAATAAGGTAGCATATGCATTATTTGAGTTACACACTACTGTACCATTTATAATCCTTATAACCACCACTCTCAACCCAGTCCCTCCCTTCAAAGTAACCACTAACTGGCTTTTATAGGAACCATTTCCTATGTTTCTTTATATTTTTAATTATCCAAGTATCCATCCCTTACATTATATTAGTCTTGTTCATTTTTTTAAAATGATATGCCTTTAAGTTCTTTTAATCAACAAGTTGTCCTTTACCCTCTGAAGAACAAGAGCTACGTGAACACAGCTTCCCAGAGCGTGGCTTCTGCAGACTGCATCCTCGTGGTACCATTCAGCTTGTTCGTGTGTCCTCAAAGGGCAACTTGCTGCAATAGGACATCACACTCAGACTTGAGCCCTTGTTAAGACCCTGGAGGTGCTGTGCTCTTCGATCAGGAAGCACATAATGCCTCACTGTCTCTTCTGTGATGTTAGCATCCATGGAAACTCAATGCTTAGAAAGTGTTTATCCCTCGAGAGTTACAAAATGGTGATCTTCTATCATTCCTTTTTCATTTATCAGTTGAAATACATTAAAAAGAAAAGCTCAGTGGGGCAATTCATAATGAAGGAAATGTGTGACTATGTCCATTTACTTAGCATCTTCAAAATGATGAACTTACCATCTCCAAAGTTGACCAGCTAGTTTTCATCATTATAAACTCATTAATTTAAATGTACAGTGGACCCTTGACTTATGAACTGTCAGTTCCTGAGGCCTTGTTGTAACCCAAGTTGGTTGTAAGTCAATACAGCAGAGATCTGGATGTTTACCTGGGTGCATGCTGTAGATAACAAGAGGCAGATGGATCTTCCATTAACCTAATTAACCCCAGTTGTTTATGCCGGGCTGGTTACAACTTAAGGGTCTACTGTACTGGACAATCCCTGTCCTTGGCAAGCTTCACGGGTCAAAATGTCGGCCAGTGAGACCTCCTCAGACTGACTCTGGGGCCCCTCTGGCATATCCTCAGTCGTCCCTCATGGCTTGCTTGCTTTCTGATTGGACCGGGTGCTCCTGGCACGTCTTGCACATTTCCTGCTCCACACCCAGAATCAGCCATTTTTCTAAGAAGCCGGGCTTCTTTCAAATGGAAGTGACATTTCAAGACCATGACCTGGGTACCAGTGATGCTCACTGCAGAATGACAAACCAGGGAATTCTGGTGGACCATTGGCTGAAGTCACTTACCAAGAGCTAGTCCCAGCTAGCTCTTGGGGGCAGCATCAATCCAGCAAAATAGAAGTCGTACACCCGGGGCAGTACTCAAGTAGGACGAGAGGACAGAAGCAAACTGTGGCAAACTCCCACAGCAGACACCAGCACTGCAGCAACACCATTCCCTCACTTTATTCCTGTGACTATATGGGGACTGTGGACAGCTAGCTGCAGGACAAGAAAAGGGCTGTTTTGTTTTGTTTTATTTTATTTTGTTTATGGATGGCTGGCTCATTATGAGAGAGCAAGCTGAGGATACAAAGCAGCCAACTACAGCATCCCTAGAGTAGCCTGAATGACAATGGCAGGGGAAACCCTCCCACCCACTACCCTTCAGGCAGTGAAGCAGTGAGCCACCTTGGTGGAAGGAGTCCCTTTTCAGATCACATGTGGACTCATGGATAGTAACAAGTGGCTTGGTTGAGTAGCCAGAGATCAGGAACAAGAAAGAATAGAAGAGGAGGAACAAAAACTCAGGATGGACACAGGAGAGTGAGGAGGCACTGTGAAGCTCTTGGTACTGTGTGCTGATGCCAGCCACAGAGCAGCCATCATGAAAGCGGGCTAATCCGCAAAGCAGAGGCAGTGGCCCGGCTGATGGAATCAGCCAGCCTTGCACTGGCCACCCCAATACTGAGCTGATGGACACAGGGACAAAGCAGCGCCGGTGACAACAGAGGTCTACATGGGGCTGACAGCATGGCTTCCCACTCACCAAGTCTCACCTGCCACCACTGAACAACCAATGTCCCTGCAACAGAGAGTCACCACGTGCCCTGATTACCGTCATTCCTCAAGGGAACCAACCAACACTAGGTGGCAGGAGTGGGGAGTAATTGGGGCCCCATCCATCCCGAAAGGGCCAGCGGTGTTCTCACATGTATTCCCAGGTGGCTGTGACTTTCCTACCTTCAGGATCTCAGCCAGTGACTGTCCCACAGAGCACCATATCAGACAGGTGACTCGCTTCACAGTACAGGTAACACAGCAGTGGCTATGACCACAGCTCCTCCTGTTCTATTCTCTGCACAGACCCAGAAGCTGCTGTTCTGGGATAGCACTGAACGGCCCTGCGGTGCAGTCACAGCACCGACTCAGAAAGGGCACTCCAGGAAGGGTCGCACCCTTTAAGACAGACAGTGTGCACTCCATCAAAAACCCCACAGGCTTACAAAGCAAGGGTACAAACAAGAAGGGCCCCATCCATCTACCATCATTCCCAATGACCCATCAGGACAATGTACTGCCTGTCCACTCAACTCTTGGTTCTGTAGGACTAGAGATCCTGGTCCCCAAAACAGCGCACTCTCATCAGAGAACACAGCAAGAGCCCACTGAGTTCCACACCACAGCAGTTGGCCAGGCACGCTGGGAACCCTGTGTACAGGGACAAGGAAGCAAAAAGAGCTCACCAGGTGTAACCAAGAGGATCACGTGAGCTCTCTGTTGTGCCACAGCCTTGCACATACTCGGTATCACAGGATACATACAAATTTCCCAGTTGGATGAGTTTTAAGTGGTCTCTCATTGTGATTTCGATATATATTTGGCTAGTATGAGCATGTTTTCATACTGTATATTGGTCATTCATGTTTGTTCTTTTGTAAATTGCCTTTGTCCATTTTTCTATCAGGTTGTTAAACTTTTGTTTTATTTGTTGTAAGTTTAATATGTTTTTAATCAATTTTTGTCAATTACATGTTTGCAGCCATAATTTTGTGTCTAATCTGCCTTTTACCTTCAGTTGTGATACCTACTGTCATAGAGATGTTTTAAATTTTAATGTGTCAAAGTTCTGTCTTTTCTTTTATCATAGGTGATTTTTGTATCTTGCATAATAACTCCTTCCCCACAACAAAGGTTATAAAGATGATGTTCGATATTTTCAGAAGCCTTTAAAGTTTTATTCTTTATTTTAGGTTACTAATCTATCTAAAAGTAATTTCTGTTAGGGTATGAGATAGGGATTCAATTGGTTTTTTCTATGTGGATAATCAAGTATTCCAAATAAATTGTTATTTAGTAAATAACCCATTTTCCTCTATGTCTCTCTAATGTCACCTCTACTAGTACATCATTTTGAGTAGTCCTGATTCCTGAATCTCTATACTTTCAAAAATTCATTTATTCAGAAAATATTCACACAGTGTCTAATAT